GGTAGCGTCGTATCTCAAATTGTGAAGTCAATAATACTGAAACAGTTTATTGAGAGGTGTTATTAGCCTGTATAAAGCTGAAAGTCTGTTACATTTATTAAAAATTTTAACTACTGCTGCGTTAAAAGCACAACTAAAATAATAAAATGAGCATATTTCATAATATGAGTATTTCACTGAAAACATTTACCAAATGGTAAAGAAAGAGACAAGATTTTAATCAGTACAGTGGGTTACTTTTAAAAACAAAAGTACTCATGAATACAGCCACTGGTGGCAGGATTGCTGATTCATGACGGGAAGTATTTCATTTATTTAATACTGACCTACTTACAGTGATTAGGAAGATGAATGTGTGAATTCAAAAGTCATTTTTCCTAAAAATATAACAATATTTTTTTTAATATTTGTAAAACTGTTAATGATGAAGCTTATAGGTAAACCCCCTGAGTTGTTCAAACAAATGAACTGTGTATGGAATCGTCTTAATGCAACTATTTCATCCCCAAATTGTCAAAGACATTATTATTGACCTTTGTTAAATCATGAAAAAAGATTCTATGAAGCATACTGCACAAAGTGAGGACATGTAAATATAACTAGGAAAAAATATAAAGATTTTGTGAAAATCTAAAAGGCTAGGAAAAAAATCTGTTGCTCATTATCACTAGAATTTGAGGCATTTTTGGACATGACTTGGAGTGATAGTGGATGTAACTATGTAACTAACACAAGACAAGCACTGAAATTTTTGGCTGAATGAGAGGAATATTTTCAGCATATTATGCTCATCTTGTTGTAATTGCCAATGTCCCAGAAAAACTTGACACCCAGAATTTAGTTGTTTTTCTTTACATAAAAAAAATGTTTGTTTTTTGGTTTTTTTGCCAGATGAGCAGAAACTTGAAAAAAAATTACTATTCTACAATTAAATATGATCGAACAAACAAAAAATGTCACCTTATCCATGATATTTTTAGTAAAAACAGATAAATAGACATTTAAAAAAAAAGCAGTGAAACAAATCATTTTGTCAATAACTGAAATAAATCTCACCTAAAATATGTGACCTGAATAAACACCATGTGAATCTACAGTGACTGATATCATATATAAAAAGTACACTGTATCCAAGTAACTTAAAAAAATTGCACAAATTACACTTTAAATAAAACCTGTTTGTGTTGAGAGAAAACAACACAGTGAGTAGTATTGACTGACTTCTTCCATCTGAATTTTACATCAACAAACATCGCCCTTTACTTTTCTTACAACGCCTTTTCTTTCTACGCTGAGTTTTTTGAACTGGATGTTGCCTGAAAATTATATATATATATAAATAAATTAAATGTTTAATTATTTGTTTTCTCAAGTGCGTGAATTAATAATAAAATACAAATGAAATAGATGCAATCATAGTGCAAGTAAAACATCACGATGTTGTGTTTTACTCGTGTCTCACATGATGTATAGGCTGTTTTCACAAAATTCAAACATATGCAACACAAAGAATATGAGGCTTCCAAGAATATTTTCAAAATGATTGAATAAGAAGTCTTTTAATTAAATAGTATAGTTTGTTTTTTTCTGTAAGGGGAGAAATAGGGTAGGCTTATGAAAATTCTGATCTGCAGTGAACATTCTCCATGAAACAAACTCTTAAACTCAACTTTTTAAAATTGAGGTTAATAAACAAAGATAGCACATACTCTATACCTCATAGTGTATACATAAATATTCCTCAGTCATCCTATGTTATTCACATGAATAAAGGGGATAACTGGCCAATACAGAGATGCCGGCATTTATATTCTCATTTCCCTACTCTTGAAGGGTTGTTATTTGTGAATAAAATAATCTGTAAAAAATTGCAAAAAATGTACCTGATTACTCTGACCACTTCATGGAAGGCAACATCAATATTCAGAGGTGGGTCCTTAGCACTTGTCTCAATGTAAGGAATCTGGTGAGTAAATAAATAAGAAACATTTCATATAATGTATCATAGAAATAACATTACATGCAGTCTTTCTTAATAATGAAAATTACAGATAAGTGGATGGACAGTCAGTCAGTGCACAAAGTCAATGAAAATAATTAGAAATTTGTATTCAGTAGCAGAATAAGAGATTATACAACATTTCAGTCACATTTTCTTCAATAAAACTTTTAAATAAAAATTAGTTAATTTGGAATTTGAAAAGACACCTTTCAATATTTAACCATGCCTAGTAAAATTATATTGTCTTCAAGTTGATTTTCTGATAC